CCTTTTTGTACTTTTCTCCCTTTTTGTTTTTTGTCAAAAAATTGTCTATTAGTGTGTCTGAAAATCAGAAAACATATATGCTTTCTGCAATCGAACAGGCTTTCTAGCTTTATAGCTTTTATTTATCGTATAAATTCCTTTCTTGTGCCTTAATCAACTATCTGCTAATTAGTCGTATAATTAATCGTATCAGTTAAATAATTGACTGATTAATCTTTTGATCAACTTTTTGTTCTTTTCTCTCTTTTTGGTTTTAGTCAAATTTTGTTTATTAATCTGTCTGAGAATCAGAAAAGAAGATGCATGCTTTCTGCAATATGCAAGCTTTTTACAGTACTTTTTTTATATAAAGTTCATTCCTTTCCTGTGGTATAAGTAACTACTTTTAAAAAAGTCAGGCGTCCTAACTACTAATTCGTTATATCTAATTAGTTAGCTTAACCCTTAATTTGATTTTGATTAGCTGTTTCCGGAAGAGGGTTCATTGCAAGGGACATAACATTTAGAAACACAGCCGGGCCGCATAACCGTCAAGCAGTCGCATTGAGGGTCGATTCTGACCAATCTGCCTTCTACCGATGCAGCATGGAAGGTTACCAAGACACACTTTACGCTCATTCCCTACGTCAATTCTACAAAGAATGTGAAATCCATGGTACCATTGATTTCATATTTGGAAATGGCGCCGCGGTTTTACAGAACTGTAAAATCTATACCCGGGTTCCACTACCGCTCCAGAAGGTAACGATAACCGCGCAAGGGAGAAAAAGCCCTCATCAGACCACAGGGTTTGTGATTCAGAACAGTTACGTGTTGGCTACGCAACCTACTTATCTTGGCCGGCCTTGGAAACTTTACTCAAGAACGGTTTACATGAACACTTACATGAGCCAGCTGGTCCAGCCTAGAGGATGGCTTGAGTGGTTTGGTAACTTTGCGTTGGACACTTTGTGGTATGGTGAATACAATAATATGGGGCCGGGTTGGCGGGTTTCGGGTCGGGTTAAATGGCCCGGTTATCATATCATGGACAAACGGACTGCACTTTCCTTCACCGTTGGATCGTTCATTGATGGTCGGAGATGGCTTCCGGCAACAGGTGTCACGTTCACCGCTGGTCTAGCTAATTAATTTTATTAAATTCTAGTATCATTTTAGAATTATGTAATTAATTTTCATTTATTGTTTGCCATTCATATAAGCATTCTAGTTAATTCAAACAGAAAATTATGAACCATGATGTATTTGTATTTGTATATGTAACGCATTTTCTCGTTTTATTCGTATCTAGATAAAATATCGTTGATTAATAAAGAAGTGGTCGACAAATATTTCCAATTTTTTCTATCAATTTATACGTAGATCTTGTTTGGATATCTTGAGCTAATCTTAATCCGATGGAAGAATTGTGATATATGGTCTGCCACTAACTCAAACGAGTACACAAATAAGATATATATTCCGTTTAAATTGTCCAAATTCTTTTGTTGACAGCCATATCTTTGGAGATCATGAATTATCATTTGCTGTTCGCACGTATAAAATTATGTACACGAAATATTTAGAATTTGAAACAAAAAAAAACTAAGGTTAGATCATGTATAAGTACGCATACAAACATGTTGAAGAAAATTTGTATCGGTACGTAATTATTACTTTTTTAAAAAAGCCAATGGCTCACAACATTATTACACGGCCATCTCTTTGCTTCTTTCCTCTAGTCTTTATCATTGTCACCCCCTAACTTCTTCAGAAGCTCTTTGTGATTCTACACCTCACCCGGCCGTCTGTAAATCCGTTTTACCGGTCGGGTCAGCCAATTCGATTCCCGGGTTCGCCCGCATCGTCATTTTGAAGTCTCTAGAAGCTTCTAAAGACATCATCACCTCCTTGGACCAGCACCATCCCACCTAAGGACCTCTTCAAGATTGCCAATTACTCGCCAGCCTGACCGTTGACCACCTCACACGTGTAAATGCCATCAAGGAGAATGTTTTGGCAACTCTGAGGTCAACGATCTGCTTACGTTGCTTAGCACCGGTCTCACAAACTATGAGACATGCCTAGATTCGGTTCACGGAGAAATGTCAGAAAATATTAACGGCCACGACCATATTCTCGCACGTGTTTCGGAGGGCATAATTAAAGCTGATTAGCGTTTCTCTTGCATTGTCCAAGGAGGCTTGGCCGATAACATCTGATGCTTCGGCCACAAAGCCACCACCGAGGATTTTGACGGAAGAGAAAAAGTCTTCCTCGTCGTATGTGAAGGTGACGGAACGTGAGAGAATGATCTACGAGAGAGTTATGGTTGTTGGACGAAAGCTTCTTCAGGTTTTTGTTCTATCAATTAATTTTCTACACTTATATATGACCTTTACAATTTTCTTAGATACTATTCATAGAAAGATAAAGAATGACATTTTATTGTGTCTAATTTCATAGTGTTTGTAATCACAAAAATACTAGCAGAAATTTTGTTTTTTCCTAAATTACAAAAATCATAATTGAAATGGGCGAAACCAATATTATTTAGTTAATAATTGTATGTTATGTACTATTTTAATTTAGAAAGTATGTACTAGTTTTGATACATTTATATGATGATATTTTAGAAAAGATAGTATTTAAAATATGTTTTAGTATTTTAGAAGTCAAAATGTTTACCTTATCGATTTAATGTGATTCGATAATTTACATGTACTATTTTCAAAATTTTAGTCTTCTCTAGGAGGCAATGGTAGAATGAAGGTGGCCAAGACGGTGGTCGTTAACCCTAGTGGTAGCAATGGTGATTCCTTTAAAACCATAAATGACGCGGTAGCTGCTGCGCCAACCAAAGCAGAATCCAGCAACGGATATTTTGTAATTTACGTCGTGACTGGAGTTTACGAAGAGTACGTCACAGTCCCTAGCAACAAATCGTATGTGATGATCATTAGTGACGGCATTGACAAAACAATCATCACCGGAAATAGAAACGTCATTGATGGTTCCACCACTTTTGCTTCTGCTACACTCGGTATATCCTTTGGACTTGATTGTTTATTCCTACGATTGGGTGTGAATTTGTGCCTTATATATATATGTTAAATTATCGTCACATGTAATTAAACGCTAGGACATTGAATTACATTTGAATTTTAAGACAATGAAAACCTTGGATGTCTCTG